CGAGTTCGACAAACTGTTTCACGGGGTTATCTCGAAATATAAACTCGCGTACTCCGCACCAACGATATCGCACCGACATATCGTCTATCTCCGCGCAAGTTTCGCAAATCTGATGCGTGACGCAATACCAACGACATCGCACCGACATATCGTCTATCTCCGCGCAAGTTTCGCAAATCTGATGCGTGACGCAGAGTGTTGGAACGTGAATTTTTACGTTCTCGGTACCTTCATAAGTCTCGTTCTGTTCATAAGTCGCGTTTCAAAATCGTAGAACACGAATGCGACGCGGTCTCTTTTAAACTTGTCTTTGACTTCGGGCTCATTCTCACTTGCATGTGTCACGTCTGTATCGTCGCACTACTCGTGCCCTCACCCGGATTCTCAGTACGACTACATCGAAGAGGTCGCATGAAGCAGGAATGATTCGAAGGCTGAAGCGATCGACATGTTCTACAATAGGATATTTCGCATTCGTATTTTGAATTTAACTTTACGAATCACCCGCAATCGTTACAAATTTTAACCGATTCGCAACCGCTTGCGGGGGATTGATCGTTGTAAGATCTTTCCGCGCGATGACGTTCGAAACACGTACCGAAAAACGCACGATTGCACGATTGACACCTAATTAGCTGCGCGTCGGGGGATTCACACGACGGAATCGCGTGGCAACGTGGGCATTTTTTAGTGCAACGGTGACCTCTATCTTTACGATAGCCCATGTTGCACGCGACGCAATATCCCCCACGAGAACCAGCAGCGGCTTTTACATTTAATATCGGGTTGAACGCTTACGTTCATAGTACATTATATACATAGTACATTATATACATTATATAGTTTAATACTCGGTTCGCGTCCTAGAGAGTCAAGTAACGTGCAACCGTCATATACCGGATTCTCACCGCACCCGAAAGTACTAACATTGAACACAATTATTGCTATATTTTCGGCAGCGAGGTAACGTTGAAAACGCTCGATTTCACGCATACCGCATCCCTGCTCGGGAATTGTAACGCCAGCGTTCCTCGTTAGTTCTTTCGCTAATTCGGATTGTAACGAGGAACTCTGTCGTCTCATGCAATTCCAATTTTCATGGAGTTCACCCATATGTAGATTTCCTCGTTCACAATGTGCTCGTGCTACTACGAGGGAACGTGGAAAACACAAATTATCAGAATTATTTAATTGCAAAATCGAGCGTTTTGCTACGTCTTCGCGTGTTAGTCGATTTGCTCTACAACCACGGCCCGCAGGTGCCGCAACGTTAAAAACGCGTACATCGAAATTTTCCGCGATATCGAGCCCTCCGGCACTTTGAGCTACTGAACTCACGAGTCGCCATATGTTCTCGGAAGTTAAGTTGCGCACCGGACGAAATGATAGTCCTGCTGGACCATGCGTTAAATTCGACGAATCGAACGATAAACCTACGTAATCGCCCGGTTCGCACGAACGTATTGCATATACGCGTAGATTTCGGGAAACGCGTTTTCTAGCCAGCGAATGGCCTCACCTTCGGGTATTGGACGTATCACGAAACTAGCCTCTCTCCCGAGCATGCCGAAATTTCTAAAGCGTCGCGAGTTTTCCGTCCGTAAATCTACGAAATTAAAATTATCGCCAACCTCGTGTTGTCGCTGATGCTGCTGTTGTTGATGTTGCCGGTGTTGATGAGGGTGCTGCTGGTGATGCTGCTCCACGTTGTTTACAGGGTTTTCCTCCCTCTCGTTTGCCGAAACAACATTAGCACTGCCGCTACCATCACCACCACCACCACCAGTTTGTACTGAAAGATTAAGAAATTTTGTTATATATATTTCGATATAAATAGAATAAATTATGTTAGAATATTAGGACTGATTGCGATGCTTGGAATTCCAAAATTTTATAACAACGATATAAAATTTTATTTATTTTTAAATGTGTAATAGGATAATGAAGAGAAAAAAAGTGAAGATATTGAGTGTGTGAAAATTGAAAACATCGCGAACAGACCTTTTATCACACCCCCGATATAGCGACAATATTTAGCATACTAAGGCAACTCACCTTTAGTTGCTTTATTCAGTCACGCGAAATTATCCGGCTTTCGAATATTATTTCTAATGATTCGATCCACTCGATACCGGCGTGTATGAAATATCTAATAAAAAGTTCATACATGAAAATACATTACGGTGAAAATAAATTAAAAGATTTAGTATAGAATATTATTACCTTCAACACACACACACACACACACACAACAAACACAACACACACACACAACACACACAACACACCCACACACAACACAACACACAACAACATCAATGGGGTAGTCTCTAGCATCTTCCTCCTGCTCCTCCTCCTCCTCCTCCTCCTCCTCACTCTCAGCAATATCTTCTCCCCGCTCAACAACTTCTTGAGTCTGTTCTTCTTCTTCTTTCTCTATCTCAGAGCTATCTCTGTTTTCGGAGATATCACTGTTATTCTCCTCCTCCTCCTCCTCCTACTCCTCCTCTTCCTCCTCCTCCTCCTTCTCCTACCTCTCCCTCTCCCCAACCCCTCCTCCCTCTCCCCCCTCCTCCTCCTCCTTCTCCTCTGCAGCTTCTTCCTCCTCATCCTGTTCTTCTTCTTCTTTTTCTTCACACTCTTCTTCATTTTCACGCACTATAAAGTAACATTTCGTTATTATGTATTATATTGTATAAACTTGCTATGGGATTTTTTTGCCAACTATTTAAAACTTACCTCGTGGCGAAATATCGTAATATTCTTCTTCAGCTGGACTGGGCGCACGAAAAGCTGCGATTTCCTGCGAATCATCATCTAAAACAAAAATTATATTTTTTCATTAATATTATATTTCTAATCACACAAAAACTGATTTTATAAGAAGATATGTTTTAAAAATTCGACTTACCGGGTGATAATATGATCACGGGTATGTTCCGCTCGTTACGTGGAATATCCCGTACGGCCTCGATACATGCTCTAGAAAATTTGATATTTTAATAGACGAAATACATAATTTAATTTTTAATTTTATTTCTAATTAATTTTTATTATTTTCCAACTTACGTGCTGGTATGACTTCATCGAGCGCTTCTGCAGCAGGTCGTCGTCGTCGTCTCAAACTGAGACGACTTACCGGACGTCCCCGACGATGATGGAATCGTACGTCCTACAACACAGTTTGATTCTATGAAAATATTAGAATTTAATGAAACAAATTTTTAGTGAAATTTTATATTTAATTTTTAAAAAATTATATTACTGCTTACCTCTTACTGCAACGCGTCGCTTGAAGTTGGCTATGTAGCCTCCGACATCATCTTCTTCGTGGTCATAGAAGTCACGCACTTCCAAATGTCCCAAGATGATACTCCTCAATCTCACATCACCGCCACAATGCCCCAGCTTGTACATAATACAAAGTAATGTACTGGAGCACCTCCCCGCGAAATCCCCGAAAACCGAATAATTAGTTTCGTCATTATCTGTCAACTTTGACAGATAATTAATTGTCACTAACTTTCCGTTTAAGTTGCAAGCGATAGTGACGAATTTCGTAAATAATTCGCGAAGCGCCATTTTTACTGTTCACGAAACTTCGATACTTTAAAATTTCTAGCGCAAAACAAATCTTGAGAGTCTTGACGTAGAAATAGCCCTTAACTTTCTCACTACGCACTATTTACACACCAATAATATTCAAAAAAATTCCCTCTCCGAAAAGGCAGAAGCAGTGAAAATTTCTGGTTACGCGCGTCATCGACTAGTAAATTTTGACAATTTTACCGATTGGTTTCCCAGTTTCTTTCCTTTTACATGAAAAGATTTTCTCGAAAAATTCACAGAGTGAGAATCGATAAAAACTTTTTTAGTTACATCCATCATATTTTAGACCTTTGACGAATTACACCCTTTTTTGTGTGATCATTTTGAAAGCATCTCTCCACCATCACTTACCTTTGGAAAATTTTTGTAAATCAAGTGTCAGAATATTTTCCTTTATCTCGAAAATTTTTATTAAATTTATTGCTTCTTTATAAATGAATATTCTTGACAATATATTCAATTTTTACGAGTTCGAACATATTTATGACATGTTCGAACATTGAAATATTTCCGTTTTGTAACTTTGAGAAAATTCTTTCCTAAAAAGTAACCCTTTGCTCTGATCCACATTATTAATTTGGAAAAGTTTTTGTCACTCTATGGTATTCTTATCCTTAGGTTAACCTATCGCATATCTAATTTAACCATTACGTTTTTTAATTGAAAGGATTCTCACGTACTATTTATGACAAGCAAAAAATAAAATATTCAATAAAGAAAATTCATAAGTCGCTTGAATTTTTGTTGGTTGTTAGTTTTCCTTTCTTATACTTTTTGTTGTAAGAAAGAAAAATCGTGCACCCTGCAAACATATCTTTCTCCACTAAATGTTTTTGTCTTGTTCAATATTGTATAACTAAGACTTATTTTTATTTATTCTGAAAAAAAGTTTTACGACAGATACCGAATAATTTTTCTTTAGTGAAAATGTTTCTTAGAAAACGAATTTATTTAAATTATAAATTGGTTTTGGACAGTTAAACTTCTATTTTTTCATACGTACCCTTAGTGTCAGCGAGAAATATTTCTATAATTTATTAACTATAAAATTTTTATAAATCTAGTGTCAGAATATTTTCCTTTACCTCGAAAAATTTTTTTAATTTATTGCTTCTTTATAAACGAATATTCTTGACAATATATTCAATTTTTACGTGTTCGAACATGAAATATTTCCGTTTTATAACTTTGAGAAAATTCTTTCCTAAAAAATTTAACTACGTCATAACGTCGTAGTATTTCTTCTAGGGAAGGGGAAATTTAAACAAACTTTATGCGCACGCAGGTTTTCATTAATTTTCAAAAAGCATATATAAGCGCAGAGACTGCTCATAGTGTTACGCTGCTTCATTCGAGTCTCGTTGTTCGAAGCGTCTACTTCGGAATCGTCCCTCCTAGTTTTTCTTCATTCGAGTGAACATTCGTCCAAAGTTTTCACGCGAAGAGACATGGCTGGAAGACGAGAAATAGGAAATCCCTCAGTGTCCGTTAATCCGCGTGTGATAAACAATATTACCGAACGAAATATGCAACAATATTTGTTACTTTCTACAACGTACCCACTCAACTCTTCTCATAAAAGAAATTACACGTGGGATTACAATCAACAAAGGAGGGAATCTTTGAACTTATCGTCAAATTGACTGGCAATTACGCAGAAGGAATCAACTTCGATTCGAACACGTGGAAACAATTTCAAGAGAATATGGGACTCATGAGCACGTACCTAAGCGAAAGCAGCCAAACCAAAGTAAATTCTATCTCATTCGCAAACATATTCGTTAGCTTCACCTCCGCCTACGGTGTGAAAGCTATTCTGGTGACGCACAAGGAAAATGAAAATGTTCCAAAGGAAGTTTCATCCGCAAATACACAGATAGAGTCAGCACAACCACCGACAAAGAAAAGAAAATCTTACTCCGTCGCGATTGTAATGCAGCAAGCTACATTTCAAGGAATGGAGAGAGTAATCAAATGTGTCGATGCGCATGTAAACCAGCTAACGTCTATTATCGACAACGTTAACGAGTGCGAACGATATTTGATCAAGGAGATAGAACTTCTAACTAATTCCTTTATCGACGCTGAAATAATCAGACTCGTTTTCCGAGGTAACAAAGAAGCCATTGAACGCTCTGTTAAAACACAAATAAACAATTTGTCATTTCTAGAAGCATACTTTAATATATTATTTTTAGAATTAACTGAACTAAAATTCAATGAAATTGTTAACATAGTTTTAACCAACCATAGATTACGATTTTATTTATCATATTTTTTATGTAATAAGGCATTCATTAATGTAGTATCACATTATCAATAAACAAATTCTTTGTATCTTAAATTCTTGACTATTTCAATCCCGTATCCTCGTGCTCCCAACATTTCAACAAGGTTTAAATAAGATAGATTTTTGTCCTGTTAAAAGGCATCTCCGTCGTAGAATACAGAAAGAACTTATTCTCTAAAGTAAGTAAATCAACACAGCAGATAAGAAGAAGAAGACGACGCATACCGAGACAAACTTGTTCATTCCTGTTTTACCTCCCCTTTCTCCCTATTGAAAGCAAGAATCTCCCGAAAATTCTCGTAAAAGTCTTCGTAAATAATAAGAAAAAAACCCTTTCACTAAGACGCCAACACATTGGAGACATCGAACCGCTGTAGTAAAAAAAAATGGCCTGTAGGACAAAAGCTGTGTGCTATTCATGTTCGCTGACCGTACCTTCCCCCTCTCCCCCCCGTAACGAACAAAATTCTCGGTTCCATTTTTCCTCGGTTTTTGCCATCCATCATTTTACCGTGGTATTCTTCTCTGCCGACACCGCCACCCTCTCCAATCGTCGCGCGGGCAGCTATGGACCGAGCCAATCAGCGTGTGAGGCGCTATGGACCGAGCCAATCAAAACGCGACATTTAATTACCTCGTTATCCCATCCTCACGTCACCGGCCAATCAGAGCGCACCATTTTCCCAGACAGACCCGTCTAGGCCACGCCCACCTGGCGCCGGAGATCGAGTGGAGGGGGTTTGTTTTACGGCCCATAGCTGCCCACTTACTACTAATATTAGTCCAAGAAACCGAAGACTGGCAGAAAAAACGGAGAACTGGCAACCATCTTTGTGATTCAAAATCCTTTTATTTTCCGTCATCTCGATAGAGCGAGACACAGAAAAAAAAAGATAAAAGCTCCGATTGTAATCGGTGAGGTTCCGCGAGGACACGCCGAGCTGGGCTCGTCGAGCGAAACATCGAGATTGTCCTTCAGAGTCTATCCTTGTCTCTATGGTCGCTTATTTCTACCGACCAAAAATACTTTCTCGGCGATCTCGGCTGCTTGGCGTGTATCATAAGGGGAAAAGAAACATTCCAGATAACACATAACTTTTATTAAATTATGTTAATCATATCCCTTTCTCATTAACGTACAATAGTAGAATGATTTCAAAACGTGATAGTTAACGAGATACAGTTTAAGGTTTTCCGTGCGATTTATGTATCGCGTTCGTAAAGGTGATCCGTAAGAACTCAGCGTGGTCTCGGGTGTTAGATGCGAGATCAGTATGCTGAAGATCCTACGCTCGATCCTGCTTTTTCCTTTTTTCATTATTCTTTTTTTTAATAAATAACATTGTCAATAAACATATTACTTCAAATATAATTTATAAAATTATACAAATTATACGTATAATTCAGTATGCTCGGAATTAGTTGCACATTTCGGGCCGATTTCTCAAGTACTGCCTACTTTTCCTTCACAACCGCTCAACGGCCGGATCGCGCGCGCGGACGTGCATCTCAGGAGTATCGCAATATAAGAAATAGCCTGCAACCATACCTTCCAGCAAATTATCATTAAAATATTTTCCTTCCTATATAATTGTTATTTTCTTAATAATGGTGATTGAACATCTTAATAAGTAAATGCATTTTACTAAATGTGATGTACTTTTAAAATACTTTATTATTTTTATGATACATTCGGTTTTTTTCAAAGAGCTAGTGACCACGTTTTTGTGCCACAGAATGTAATATAGAATTTTACTTTACTGCGTCTGGTGATCTGTTTGTATTTTTGTTAGTGGAATAAATCTGTAGAATGTAGTTAAGGCCCGTTTCTATCACTTTTGCCTTAATCTCCAGTTTAGCCAAACTTTCGTTAAAACTAAACTTAAATTTGGCGCTGATTGGTTTCTACAATGCAAACGTTTAGCTAAACTTATAACCTATGTGTCATAACTTAAAGAAATACTAAATCTCAGTCGTTGATTGGTGCAATATTGGTTCTAACAGTATTTTACGGCAACGTGCAGCATCGTGTTATGTGAATACTCGTGTAAGGAATATAA